GCTTTTTAATCTTTTTAATACCAAGGCATTTGATGAGGGCATGTAAGAGTCAGTGAGAGAAAGAGAAAGAGGAAGAAATGACCCCCAGTGGAGTGTGGTCACGGCACGATCCTTTTTCCTCCAGTCCTCCAGCCCGCCTGGGTCCTGGGTGTATACATGCCTGGCGTAGTTCAACCTGGTTGGCCATGTGGGATCCGACTTTCTCTGCGCACTGCGTAACTGCCCTGCCTTACATTTTCCCTGGTCGTTCATTCGTTCATTTTTATTTGTTATTTTTTTAACCAGAGAGAGAGAGAAAGGGAAAGTGAGAAAGCAAGCTACTAGGTCCGGGACTTGAACTGCAGCCAGCCATGTGGGAGTTCAGCGCCCTTAACCACCGCGCCACCTGCCGGCCCCATCTTCCGGGTCATTCACCTGGACTGGCCCAGATAATCCAGGATACTCTGCTCATCACAAAGTCCTTAGCTCAGTCCCATCTGCAAAGGCCCCTCGGCATGTATGGTGCCGTATTCACAAGCCTTAGGGTTGGGGACGGAAGGTCTTTGGGGTGCTTTTCGGCACCTTGGCTGAGGGCCTCCCCAGCCCGTTGCTGTGTCTCGTTTCCCTTGTTCCTCAGAAAGTGCTTCCACATTACCTGGTTCCTTACCTGCTCTTGGCTGTCTCCCTGCGGAACGTGAGTGCCTCGAGCTCAGGGGCCTCACCCGGTCGGGGTCGGTTTCCTCCCGTGTTCCCCGAGCCCAGCATCGCCGACCTGGGGGCCAGTAGTGCCCCCCCCCTTCTTCCTCTCCAGCTGAATGAGTGGTCGTGATTGTCCCTCGAGTCCTAGAAATCTTGGCCTCTGTGAGTCATTTTGGAAAAGATGGCCTCTCTCTTGGGACCAGCAGAGGGGATTAATAGTTATTGTTGCCGAACTCTCATGTAGTTGACCGCGGTTCGAGTCCTGGACCTGGTGGCTTAAAACTCACACCAGGCGTTGTGTGCCTCTGTGCCCAAGATCCCGAGAGGAGAATGGAGAAGGGACTGTGGCGTGGCCATCCCCTCGGAGAGTGATTTCATGCTTTCAGTCTCTCTCGTTCGCTGTCTCTCTGGTGAGTGCATACCCCCCATAACAAAAATCTCTCTTAAAAAAAGGAAAAGATTGGGCTGACAGGTGGCATGGTGGTTAAGGGCTCTGGACTCCCACATGGCTGGCTGCAGTTCGATTCCCCGGTTTGTGTCCCAGACCTGGCGGCTTGCTTTCTCATTTTCTCCCTCCCTCTGTCTCTGTCTCTTACTCACTCTGTCCCTTTCTGGTCAAATTAAAATAAGTAAATAAATAAAGTTAAATCATTCTTTAAAAACAAGAAAAAGTTGATCTCCCAGAGCTGATTGTGGTTTCGAGGGAGAGTGTGGGGGTGTGGGAAGAGCTCCAAAGTGACTCAGAAAACCCCAGGGCCACAGCCATGCATGCTCGTCTGGCTTTGACACTTTCTGGCGGGTAATGTGGTGGTTTTTCGTTCATTTTTCTATGATTCTTGCTCTTCCAATTTTGCCCTTGGGGGAAGAAAAGCGTTTTGGAGCCCAGGTACCTACAGCTTCGCCCACTCAGGGTGTGCTGCACGGGCCAGGGGCTCCCCGTCTTGTTCACTCATGTGTGGCTGGCTTGGTGCACAGCCCTGCCCGGCCCCTGCCCGCTGTGTCACTTGGGCAGGTGACTGGCCCTCTCCGAGCCCTCAGTTTCCTCATCTGTTATAGCACCCTCAGAGGGGGTGTGATGTGGAGTGGTCCTCCACAGTCCCCCTCGGAAGGGTCTGGGTGCAGAGAAGGCATCTGACCCTAGCACAGGTCATTTCAGGAGGCTCTGTTGTCTCTGCTCTGGAGGACTGGAGGTGAGCGAGGTTTTCCACGGCCTCGGGCGAACTCCTGCCGTCCAGGAACTCAGACTTGGAAGGAAGGTCTCCCTGTGCTGGTTGCCGTCAGGGCTGGAGTAGCTAGTTGAACCCAGCTGATGTGTGTGACAAAATTACCCCAGGGGCCTCTTACAAGTGGCTCATCTGGGCCCAGCAGGTTGCGTGGTGGTTAAGGTGCTGGACACTCCCACAGGGCTGACCACTGTTCGAGTCCCAGACCTGGTGGCTTGCTTTCTCACTTTCCTTCTCTCTGTGTGTCTGTCTTTCTCTGGTCAAATGAAAAAAATGACTGAATGAATGACTACAATTAACTACATCTTTTTTTTTTTTTTTTTAGAGGTTTTTGCTATAGGGTGTGTGCTTGCCAGAAAGACAGAGAGAGACAGAGAGACAGAAAGCGAGAAATCACCCCCCAGAGGGGATGGCCATGCCACAATCCCTTCTCCTCCATTCTCCTCTCGGGATCTTGGGCACGCTCACACACGCGCCCAGTGTGAGTTTAAGCCACCGGGTCCGGGACTCGAACCGCGGTCAACTACATCGGAGTCCAGCGACGTAGCCATTGCGCCAATTGCTGGTCTCCCCAATGTTTCCATAGAGAGCAGATATTCCTTCCGTGCTGAGGAAAGACTTGGCAGGCTCATTTCCCCAAGACGGCCATTTTGTCCTGACCCCGTGTTGAAGGCCTGGTTAAATGTCAGTGGGTCAGTGCCTCTAGCTCAGTCACTTTCATGGACTCTGAATAGCTAAACTGGAGGGCACCGCCGTCTGCTACCTAGTTTTCCTGCTTTACTGGTGGGAGAACGGCAGCCCACGGAGCTTGGGGCTGCGGTGTGTTCCTGTGGCCACAAGCGTGGCCGGGCCTCCTGCTCTTCCCATTACATCCTGCCACCTCCCCCGGGTGAGAGGGGTGCGGAGAGGGGAGGAGTTCCTTCCCCTTCCCTCCGCTCCTGTGCCTGAGCTGCTGGAAGCGGCCCCTGACCTAGCTGACATCACTTCCCACTGGCCAGGAATCTGGCTGGGGTTTCCAGTGACTAAAGCTGCAACTCAGGAACTTTCCGTCCCTAGTGGGCAGGCACCTTGAGGCCTTCTCTGTGCAGGAGGCTGTGACAGCAGCCCTTCCATCCAGGGGGCAGGGGTTTGAACTCTTCCATCCATCATCCCTGGCTCTGAGGTCATCCCTGGCCCGCCTTGGCTTTGAGGGTCAAGGTTAAATCCCGTAGCCCAGCGTCCATTCGAGGCCCTTAGAGGCCCTTCGTTATGTGGTGAGGGCTTTGACTCTTGCCTGCTCCTCCCCTACTCAGCCCCACTCACCTGTGTTGGAATTTTCCTTTTTTTAAAAAAAATATATATTTATTCATTCATTTTAATTTGACCAGAGAGAGAGACAGAAACAGAGAGAGAGGGAAAGTGAGAAGGCAAACCACCAGGTCTGGGACTCGAACCATGGTCCTCCATGTGGGAGTGTCCAGCGCCTTAACTGCCAGACTGCCTGCTGGTCCCCATTATTATTATTTATTACTTTTTTTTTTTAAAGACTTATGCCATAGGGCATGTCACCAGACAGAGAAGGAAAGTGATAAATCTCTCCCCAGCCGTTTTGCCATAGGGCCTGTCACCAGACAGAGAGAAGGAAAGTGATAAATCCCTCCCCAGCAGGGATGACATGCGTTCATTTTCCTCTTGGGATTTTGGGCCTGCACATGTGCACCTGGTCATTTTCCTCTTGGGATTTTGGGCCTGCACGTGTGCACCTGGTGTTTTTCAAGGTGCTGGGACTGGGACTTGAACCATGGAGTCAGCCATATGGGATCCAGTACCCTTTTTATTTTTTAAAGGGTTATTTATTTATTTAATTCCATTTGTTATTATTTTTGAAGTTTGACCAGAGAGAGGGAAAGGGACAGTGAGAAAGCAAGGCGCCGGGTCAAGGACTCAAACCGCAGTTGGCCATGTGGGAGTCCAGCACCTTTAGTCACCATACCCTCTGCTGGCCTGAAATGAGCTGCTTTGCTATAGTGTTGGGGCCGGCAGGTGGCGTGGTGGTTAAGGGCACTGGACTCCCACACGACTGACTGTGGTTCGAGTCCCAGACCTGGTGGCTTTCTTTCTCATTTTGTCTTGCTCTCTTGCTCTGTCTCTCCCTGGTCAAATTAAAAAAGAATAAGTAAATTAAGTTAAATAAAGTAAGTCTTTAAAAATAAAAGATATTTGCTATAGTGTGTGTGCACTTGTTGGAGAGACAGAGAGAGAGAAAGCAAGAAATCACCCTTCAGAGGTGATAGCCATGCCACAATCCCTTCTCCTCCATTCTCCTCTCAGGATTTTGGGCACACACATACACGCACCCACCATGAGTTTTAAGCTGCAGGTCCGGGACTCGAACCTCAGTTGATTACATGAGAGTCCAGCAACATAACCATTATGCACATGCTGGTCCCAGGAATGCGTTATTTTTATTGTTGCCAATGGGAGCTCGCTGCAAAGTGTCCAGTACTTCAGAAGTGGCCAAATGCTTTTTATCCATGGGGGCCCTGTTGAGCCTTTCTGCACTTCAGTGAGGAAGGTGGGGCGTGGGTGCCTTTATTTGCTCATCACATGCTTTCTGAGTACCCCCTCCAGTGCTGGGACTCCGGGGCCAGGCTGAGCTCACTCTCAGGGCCTGTGGTTGCAGGATCAGCCAGGGCATGGGCGTCTCACTGGCCTGGTCCCACCCTTGCTGTGCCAGGTACTCTTCTTTGCTCAGGGCATGTAACAGTGAAGGCCACGAGCAGACCTCCCTCCTGCAGGGGCTTCCATCCTTGAAGCGGGGGCAGGTGGACTGCTGTCACCCCTGCAGGCTCCCGCTAGTGCAATGACGGTGGCTGGGACTCCCAGCGGCTGCACTCTGGCTCGCGGGCTGCAGAGTTGGTATTTGTGGTCAGGTGTTCCTGCTCTGGTCCCCACAATAACTTGGCCTCCTGTGGACCTCAGCTAACCGGGCATTTGGGGTGTCGAGGGAGGCGAGCTGGGAGGATGTTTGGACGCAGGCTGGGAGGGCTAGCGTGGGACCCTCCCGTGCAGGGACTGCTCCGACCCTCTGCTAAACCGACCCTCTGGCTTCCCTCCCAGCCTCCTACGTGATCACAGACCTGACCCAGCTGCGGAAGATCCGGTCCATGGAGCGGGTGCAGGGCTCACCCGGGAGCGGCTGTGGTGGTGGGGCATGCGGCAGGCCACCGTGCAGCAGCTGGTGGACCTCCTGTGCCGCCTGGAGCTCTACCGCGCCGCCCAGATCGTCCTGAACTGTGAGTAACCCAGCGCTCTGGGCTGGACTCAGTCCGCCCCGGAGCAGTTTCAGCGCCAGCTCCCTTCCCTAGTCTTAACGCCTCGCTTCCTCTTATTTTCTGTGTTATCAACATGTATGTATGTATGTTTCTGCATGTGTCCACCAGAGAGGAGAGAGACAGAGGAAGTGAGAAACCACTCCCCACGCCCCCGGTCCCAAGCATGGCCACACTCCAATCCCCTCTCCTCCTTTCTCCTCTCGGGACCCTGGGCACACGCACCCAGCAAGACTCCCTAGCCAGGGTCTGGGACTCTTAACTGTGGTCGGCCATGTGGGAATCCAGCCACCTTAACCACCATGCCACCTGCTGGTGCCTCTTAATCTTTTAATTTTAATTTAATTTTTTAATTTAATTTTAATGTATTTATTTTATTTTAATTTGACCAGACAGACACACACACACACACACACACACACACACACACACACGGGGTTTGGGGGGGAGAAGAGAAAGTGAGAAAGCAAACCGCCAGATCTGGGACTTGAACTGTGGTCAGCCATATGGGAGTGTCCAGTGCCTTAACCACTGCGCCACCTGCTGGTCCCTAATTTTTTTAGTTTTAATGAGTGCGTTTACTCTGCAGAGTAAATGGGAACCGGTGGCCAGGGAACCCAGCGAGGGAGGTGGGAGGCAGACGTGGGAGGCAGACGTTACTGTAGTCCCTTTGTCCTGTTCGGCTTTGAGGTATCTACTCCACAGATGGCCGCAGTGCAGTGGCGCCCTCTACAGGTGTCACTGTGACCGGCCCGTTCTCATACAGAGGGTTGTGTGCTTTTGTCACACAGTAATAGATCTTGATTTTGTTTTTTTTTTTAAAGAATTATTTATTTATTTAATTCCATTTGTTGTTATTTTTAATTTGACCAGACAGAGAGAGAGAGAAAGGGAAAGCGAGAAAGCAAGCTGCCAGATCTGGGACTCAAACCACAGTCAGCCATGTGGGAATCCAGCACCTTTAGCCACCACGCCACCTGCCGGCCCCTTTTTTAATTTGTCGGAGAGTATGTTTGCTCGCCAGGGACAGGGAGAGAGAAAGCGCCCTGCACTGGGGTGTGGTCACACAGCAGTCCCTTCATTTCTCTGTCCTGTCAGGATTTGGGGCAGGCGTGCGCACATCTGGAGTGTTTTTCTCCAATCCACATGTCCAGGATTCAAACCACATGGTCGGCCATGTGGGATCTGGCTCCCTTAAGCCATAGAGCCTATCTGAACAAATTTTGAAAAATTAATTACTCTTTTTTTTTTTAAGAATTATTTTATTTAACTTCATTTATTTAACATTATTCTTTTTCATTCTGACCAGAGAGAAACAGAGAGAGGGAAAGTGAGGAAGCAAGCCACCAGCTCTGAGACTCGAACTGTAGTCACCGCAGTTGGTCATGTGGAAGTCCAGTGCCTTTAACCACCACGCTGCGCTGCCTGCTAGCGCCTGACCCATTGTTTTTAACAGCTGCATTATATTCCTTTGACGGATGTACTATGACGTACTAAACTTGGTTCCTATCTGTAGGTGTTCAGTTTTCTTCTAGCGTTTTCTTTTCTCTGCAACGTCATGCTATGCGCTGTTGTATGTACATGGTTTGCACACGTGTGAGTAGTTGTAGGGTGACCTTCTAGCACCCTAGGATGGCTGGGTTGAGAGTCCGTGTATCCGTTGACAGGTTTACCTTGAGATTGACATCAGTATTACCATGGTACCGTCCCACAGGGGAGCTGATCGTGTGGCGGTATTTAGCCAGTGTTCATGCTTCTCTCCCTTGAAGGGTGCTGTGAGATGGGAGGAGTGGGGTACGTGCTGGGCCTGGGGTTCAGCCGGTGCTCAGCGAAGGCGGTGGGGAGAGGGGTCTGCAGCGTGGGGCCGGTGTTTCCTGTGCGTCTGCCCGAGGCCTGGTGCCGTCCTAGGTTCTAGAATCTAGTGTAGGCCGAGCAGCAGGCCCTCCCCGTGGAGAGCAGGCTGGTGTGGAGGTTAACAAACAGGAAAACAAGCAACAGTGCACAGTAAACTGACCAGCTGGGGCGCCTCCCAGGGTGGGGTGGTCAAGGAAGGCCTCACCCTCGTCCAATGAGGGGACAGTCGCCCTACGTTGGTACCACTTGGCATTTCAGCGGGTTGGTGTGGCCGGTGCCCCCTCAGCTCAGCTGTGACCCTGGCTCAGCCCCTCTGTATTCCCGTGTTAGAGGAATGGCTAGTGAGTGAGTGCCCCCTTAGGTGTTTTTCAGATTAAAAAGAAAAGCTTTCTTATTCCATAGGAAAGAGATGGAGAAAGGCCAGCAGGTGGTGTGGTGGTTGAGGTGCTGGACTCCCACATGGCTGATCATGGTTCGAATCCCACACCTGGCAGCTTACTTTCTCACTCCCTGTCTTCCTCTCTCTCTGGTCAAATTGAATTATAATAAATAAATAAAATAAAATGGATAATTCTTTTCTTTAAAATAATTATTTTATTTAACTTTATTTATTTTAATTTGACCAAAGAAAGAGAGAGAGAAAGCAAGCCGCCAGGTCCAGGACTTGAACTGCAGTCAGCCTTGTGGGAGTCCAGTGCCCTTAACCACCACACCACCTGCTGGCCCCAGATAATTCTCTTAAAAAAAAGAGATGGAGAGTGAAGGAGAGACAGAGACAGCACCCCCAACAGGGCCTTGACGCCAAGATCTACCCTCAGTCAGCCCGGATCATGGATACACACAGACCTGAGTTACTCTAGGAGACCTTGGGATGCGAACTCAGAACCTTCCGACGTGGGTCAGCTTCAGGGAGAATTTTTTTTTTTTTTTGAAGAGGTTTTTGCTATAGGGCATGTGAGCTCACCAAAAAGAGAGAGACAGGAAGGGAGAAATCACCCCCCAGGGGGAATGGCCACGTCACAACCCCTTCTTCTCCATTCTCCTCTCAGGATCATGGGCATGCATGCACACACGCCCGGCGTGAGTTTTGAGCCACCGGGTCAGGGGCTCCAATCGCAGTTGACTATGTGGGAGTCCAGCAGCATAACCATACGCCATCTGCTGACTCCTCACTGTGACACTTTAATCATCTTTTTTAAGAATTATTTTATTTAACTTTATTTAGTTATTTTTACATTTTTGACCAGAGAGGGATAGAGCGAGAGTGACAGAAAGATAGAAAGTGAGGAAGCAAGCCTCCAGGTCCAGGACTCGAACCATGGTTGGCCGTGTGGGAGTCCAGTGCCCTTAACCACTGCGCCACCTGCTGGCCCCTAATCATCTTACTTTCTTTTTTTTAATTTTAATTTTTTTTTTAGAGGTTTTTGCTATAGGCTGCGTGTGCTCGCCAGACAAACAGAGAGAGACAGAGAGACAGAAAGTGAGAAATCACCCCCCAGGGGGGATGGTCACGCCGCAATCCCTTCTCCATTCTCCTCTCGGGATCTTGGGCACATACACACATGCGCCCGGCGTGAGTTTAAGCCACCAAGTCCAGGACGCGAACCGTGGTCGACTACGTGGGAGTCCAGCGACATAGCCATTACGCTAACTGCTGGTCCCCCCCCTAATCATCTTTTTAAAAGCAATTTTATGAGAGAGAAAGTGAGAGCGAGCTTGAGAGGGAGACAGGAAGGGAGGAGGTATTTTGACAGGATCTCACCCTGTCATGACCTGCCACAGCCTCCCGGTTAGCCAGGACTGCAGGTGTGGACCGCCATCCCGCGTGTCGGGGTGGGGTAGGAGCCCACGCTGGCTCTCACGTGGCCCTGTCCTCCCTCGCGCTGCCGTGGCTGAGCCGTCCGTGTGACGCTTTAAGCCGGTGCTGACTGGATACTCGGTGCGCTAGGTCTGCTGCTGAGGGCTTGGCCACAGGGGCCCCTGCCCACCAAGGAGGGCCGAGGGACCTGCCCGGGGCCACAAGGCTGCTGCTGGAAGCTGGAGGCCACACCTGGGAGCCCTCACTGGGGAGCCTCAGCCAGGCGGCCTCTGCCTTCAGCCTTGCTCAGGATTTGGCCCCGACCCCGCGCTCCCGGCCCGACTCCTCTGACCCTCTCTCAGTGTGCAAAAGTCTCCATTTGGTTCCCCAAACCTCTTCCTCCTTCCCCTTTACCCTGATTCATATCCCCCCAGAAAGAGGGGCAGAGCTTGTCTCCACAAACCCCGTGCTCGGTTATGGAAGGATGGTGGTGTTCTCACTATGGCTTTGAGTCCTCGGGCAAGGCACGTCCCTTCATGTATCATGTTTTCTTCACTAGGAAACAGAAAAGTGTGTTATAAATATAAATCCCGTCACCTTTGGGAGTGAATGGAGAGGGCGGGTGAAGCGGTTGAGTTTCCGTGCTCCCTGCTCAGAGCCTCTTCCCTCTCCTAAGGCGGATGTGAGTTGAACTTCTTTTTGCATTGACTTGCTTAAGGTCCTTTGCTAAGGGGTTTGGCTATCTCCGGAGGTTAGAGAACCTGTCCTCTGCCCACTGCTTCACACAGGGCTTTAACAATCAATCTGAAGGGGCCGGCAGGTGGCCTGGTGGTTGAGGTGCTGGACTCCCACGAAGCTGACGGTGGTTCGAGTCCTGGACCTGGTGGTTTGCTTTCTCACTTTCTCTCTCTCTCTCTCTAACAAGTGCCCCGTAGCAAATTAAAAAATAATAATAATGATAAATAAAATTAAATAAATAATTCTAAAAGAAAGAAATCAAGTTGAAGGCCCAGCTGCAGCAGTCCCTGGTGCGACGCGGTGCTGTACCGGCTGGCGCCACGTGGGAGGCCTCGTTCATGCTCCTGCGGGACTGGCAGGTGCCTTGGTGATGGGAGCACTGGGCTCCTACGTGGCTGGTCACGATTCAAGTCCCAGACCTGGCGACTTGCTTGCTTTATTTTCTCTCTCTTCCTCCCTGTCTGTCTGTCTGTGGTCAAATTTAAAATAAGTAAGTTAAAGAATAAATAAATAAGTTAAATAATTCTTTTTTTTTTTTTTTTAGAGAAGTACTTTATTTAACTTTATTTATTTA